ATTGTAATTGCCAAGTTTTTGATAGTTTAAGGATCATTTTTGATTAGTGGCACGTGCCATCGAATTCAATCTGTATTGACAGAAAATATTAAATAACGAATACATTTATTACTATTATAGGAAGAAAAAGACGAAGAAGAATTATTTGCTATAGTGCAACTTGAATAAACAAATAAATACATAATTATTTTATATTAAATAAAATTGTTATTAAAATGAAAGAAAGGATTAACGCATTTACAAGGATATATACTCGATGCTGAACTTAAATTAGGTTGTATTGTTTTAACGAAAACTTCTATGAGGATCTGGAGGGGGTCCTTTATTTCTGTATTCTTTAATTTTTTATGCCGATTTTCTCTATTCTTTAAACTTTTTGTCTATTATTATCAATTCTTTATATTCAAGCACCTTATTATTCTCTATTCTTTATTTTTTTTTATCCATTTTCTCTATTCTTTATATTTATTGCCACTCATTCTCTATTCTGTAACCTCCTCCCCGCCCCCTCCCATCAACATCTTCTTCTTTCCGATGGTATGTTATTTATAGTTTTATTGTCTCGTCACGGTCTAAGTGCAGTTTTCAGAATATTAACTGCACTCGGAGACATGGTTCCCTGATGCGGCCTTGGTGACTACGCATCACTACGAAATAAAAGCTAAAAAAAAAAAAAGAAGACGGTTGTCCAAATATAAAAAGAATAACACGCACGGGGAATGATTACTAAATGCCACGAAGTAATTATTAAGTTTTAGAGGAAAGTATCGAAAGATAACGAAATTAACGATATAAATTATCTGACATAAAACATATTTGTATTTACGTTGATCGTTCCCGATGAAGTTAAATCCAGAAACGTGCTTCAGACGCATGAAATTTATAAGGTGTTTTCACTCTTTTGATAATGTTATGTTTAAAATTTGCAATTACTTCTTTTCAAAGAATAAGTAGATAAATACATAAATTAACATCAGAAAATAAAAAATCAAATCAAATCATAAACAGTTATAGGCGAATAAGTTATTTCCTCAACAAAACAAAATCACTAATCTCTTAAAAAAAGACCAACAGAAATAAAAAGTCAACCAATTATTTTATGTTTAATTATTAAAAATATACGTTTTTCATTCTAGCATTTGTATTGTAATTTTTTTATAATTAAAATGTATCATCCACATGAAGAGGCGTAACTCCTAATATCATTCTGACCCACTAAACGGATCTTAACCCGATCTGAAAATTTTGAACATTACTTTTTATGTTTGGTCTGAATTCGTCTAAACCCGTCTTAACATATCTTGTTTAACAGCTAGAGCCTTCTGTCTTGTTTATCTTGACACGAATGAACGGACTGAACACGACATATCTGAACAGCGTCTGAAAGTCTTAAAAAGTCTTAACGTTTTTCCCTTGCGGTAAATTCAGTTGATTCAGACTTGATCAGACCAAAATGACCGTTTCAGACTGAAATCTTGCTACTAGTGCTAGCAGTGAGTGATCGCATTATAAAAGGCAAAATCTGACTATTTTTGAAAAGATTGACAATGATAATGTACTAGTATATTGAAATGTTTTTTTACAACTTTCAATAAATATTTTACACAATACAATTCTTTGAACATACATATAAACAAAGACACAACATGCATAATAAAAATAATAGGTTGCTATTTTAGCAATATAAGATACAAACCTTTCATCTTTTGTGAGGAGGCGAGTGGCAACAAAACAGTTCATGCAAATTAAAAACGAATACAAAATCATCAAACCAGTCTGGAAGTTTGTTAAATGTAAATCAAATCTTTGTTTCGAAAGGCAAGTTGAATTGACCTTGGAGTTCACTATTTTTGTTATTTTACTTTTTAGTAATAAAATAGAAACGACATTGATTAAAAAAGAACGAATCTTGTTCCTACTTTATTTAAAAGTTTGTTTTTTATGAAAATGTTTAAAATGTCAAAAACCATTGCATTCTTCCCTCCCCTAAAAGAAGATGATTGGTTCCGAACTAAAAGTAGAACAATGAACTCATTAGTAATTGTGAATGGGCAACACTAATATCAACATGTAAAGGTATTGATCAAATTTGTCGATCTTTGAATAAAATTATGTTAAAAGGTTATCAATTTCAAACTGTAATAAGATCTCAGAAGATTGTTTTTATTGGTATTGATATTGATTTTGTGAATGTTGTCATAAATTAGAATATAACTGTATATGCTATATATGTATTTCAATACAGTAATGAACGAACATCTACGTTCCTCTATACTGTCGATACTTATATTTTGGCATTGAACAAGGTAACTATTTTCTCAGACTTTTTATGACTTCTTTACACTAAATTAATTGGATGTGTATTGACTGATACTTAAGTCTTGGAAATATGATTTATTTATAAGTTGTAGTTTGCTTAAGTACATAATAAAATACTTACGTTTGACTTTTTTGCAAGATTTAACTCCGTTGCCTTGGTATTTGGCTTTACAGACGCATTTTCCTTTAATACACTTCGCTTTCTTATGACATTTGTTCATGCACTTGGATGTCTTGGCTACAATATTATATAATTGTTCAAATAATGAGCAACTTTATTTGCTGATATTATCAGAGGATGTAGACACATTTATGTTATTTGGGATAAACCTCTTTATTGGTCTTGAAAAACGTGCGAACATAAACTATGTCGATAGGCTGCTTCAAACAAAATCTCAATTTAGCTCATAGTTAAAAAAAAAAGTTATTGGGAAAAAATATGTGATTAAAACTCTTATTCGTCTAACCCTTAGTCATCTCTTTTTAAAAATTACCAAACTCAAATGTAGAGACAATTAAGAAAATCAATGATGCTATTTTGTATTTTTGTGGAACTCAGCTATACAAAGATTGAAAAAAAAGTGTATTTGATGAATTTAATCAGTGGTGGTGTAAAATTGTTAAATTTTAGTTCATTTGTAACAACAATTACATTTACATGGGTAAGCAACATTTTCTGCTCTAATCGAAAATGGATAAATATCTTATTTACAATGCAGACTTAATATTATGTTTTAAGCATTATACGGTGTATTTATTTTATATTTGATATCAAAATGTCGTTATTACTGGCCATTGAATTTCAAAATTTCGAATCTTTATTAAAACGACTGATGAAGTTGTATTGGATAGTTATCCTTGAATAAGCTTAGAAATAAAATAAACTGGGAATATCTCATTCGCGTCTCTCAACGTGGCAATTGAATAAAGATAGTCATATCGTTATATAGTAATAGCTATATAGGTTGTGTAGAGGAAGGGGAAATACATACAAACAACCTGTTACCTGTATAAATAGATATCCTCCATGTACCACCACATATTTGTTGTTTATTCCCAGAGCATGGCGTTTTACAATCACTTTCCTTTCTTTTTCTGTCTTTTCGTAAAACATTCCCACAAAAACATTCGTATCCATACTATAAAAGTATTATTAGTTGTATTATAAGTATCACCTTTTTAGTAACATAGGCCAATCAAATATAAGGTAGAGCAAACAATTTTTAAAATATTAAAAAAACCGAACTCCAAGGAAAATTCCAAATGGAAAGTCCCGTATCAAATGGCAAAATCAAAAGCTCAAAAACATCAACCTAATGGAGAACAACTGTCATATTCCTGACTTGCTACAAGCATTTCCTTATGTAAAAAATGGTGGATTAAACCTGGTTTTATATCTAGCTAAACCTCTCAGTTGCATGACAGTCGAATAGAATTCCATTATATTTACAACATTATTTGTCTATGGCAGAGTAATAAAGTATATACGTCCTTTTTTCTCCTAATGATTTGAAAACGATCAATTAAAAGTCGAAGGCATGTACATTACGACTCCTAAAACGTTTTGTTTCGGATCTTATTAAAACGAAACGCTCATCAGGCTTAAGATTGAATATAACCTCTGGGATAAATTTTTGAAAATTAATCATATTTATCAAAAACAAGGGTTGTCTTAAATTAACACAAAAGTGGGATATACACTAACGAGTCGAAAAACCTTATATAATAAAGCGAAAAAAGACAATGTTTCTGTGTAAGGTTATATGAAGTACATTTTAAAAACTACTTAAGAATCAGCCTTATTTTTTATACTCATGAACACAAGCCTCTAACTTTCATTGACTTACCTCAACACCTGCAAACTTGAATCCTTTTTGACCACAAAACTGTTGGCATTTTTGAACTGTCATACCTTTGTCTTTCAGTACTTCCTTGGGTAATATTCTAGTGCTGTCATCCTGATAACAACCAATATATGCTGATTCTTTAATAAAATGGAAAAAAACCTATAGATTGAATATTTTCAAGATAATATGTACTAAATTTCCATTTTCTTTAATGTGTAATCTCTAAAAGATATTATGACAAAACCATCGTTTTATGTTTCAACAATCGTTTATCAATTTTATACAAGTTTTCTTGACCGTCCGCGTACTAATTCAAATTTCAAAGGAGAAAGTATCATGACGGCAATTTTTGGTCCCTTGAATTTGAAAATCAAAAAGTATGAAAAAATTTGATAAATAACGTTCTTCATATATTCATAAGACATATCTTATGGACAACAGTATTTCTTATTCATTTCGGAACCTTTTATAGCTTACTTTATAGTACGGGTTTTACACATTGTTTGCGCAAGGCCGTACGGGGACACATAGCTGCTTACATCTACCTTAATTGGTCTATTGTGGATATTTGTCTCGTTGATATTAATACCCCATCTTCTTATTTGGATATTTATGTAGATCTATTAACTTGTTTGATGTTTTTAATGTTCAATTCCTTGCTAATGTGATACATATAACGTTTACCGGAGTTGTGGAGCATTTCTATAGTTGAAGTATATTAAATAACAGTCTTTACACTAAATTACTTCGATGTTTATTCAGTGATACTCAAGTGTTGGAAATATTATTTATTTATAAGTTGTAGCTTGCTTAAGTACATAATATAATACTTACGTTTGACTTTTTTACAAGATTTAACTCCGTTGCCTTGGTATTTGGCTTTACAGACGCATTTTCCTTTTATACACTTCGCTTTCTTATGACATTTGTTCATGCACTTGGATGTCTTGGCTACAATAATATATAATTGTTCAAATAATGAGCAACTTTATTTGCTGATATTATCAGAGGATGCAGATACATTTAGGCTATTTGGGATAAACCTCTTTATTGGTCTTGAAAAACGTGCGAACATAAACTATGTAGATAGGCTGCTTCACACAAAATCTCAATTAGCTCATAGTAAAAAAAAAAGTTATTGGGAAAAAATATGTGATTAAAACTCTTATTCGTCTAACCCTTAGTAATCTTTTTAAAAACTACCAAACTCAAATGTAGAGACAATTAAGAAAATCAATGATGCTATTTTGTATTTTGTGGAACTCAGCTATACAAAGATTGAAAAAAAAGTGTGTTTGATGAATTTAATCGATGGTGGTGTAAAATTGTTAAATTTTAGTTCATTTGTAACAGCAATTACATTTACATGGGTAAGCAACATTTTCTGCTCTAATCGAAAATGGATAAATATCTTATTTACAATGCATACTTAATATTATGTTTTAAGCATTATACGATGTATTTATTTTATATTTGATATCAAAATGTCGTTATTACTGGCCATTTCATTTCAAAATTTCGAATCTTTTTTAAAACGACTGATGAAGTTGTATTGGATAGTTATCCTTGAATTAGCTTAGAAATAAAATAAACTGGGACTATCTCATTCGCGTTTCTCAACGTGGCAATTGAATAAAGATAGTCATATCGTTATATAGTAATAGCTTTATAGGTTGTGTAGATGAAGGGGAAATACATACAAACAACCTGTTACCTGTATAAATAGATATCCTCCATGTACCACCACATATCTGTTGTTTATTCCCTGAGCATGGGGTTTTACAGTCACGCTCCTTTCTTTTTCTGTCTTTTCGTAAAACATTCCCACAAAAACATTCGTATCCATACTATAAAAGTATTATTTATTAGTTGTATTATAAGTATCACCTTTTTAGTAACATAGGCCAATCAAATATAAGGTAGAGCAAACAATTTTTAAAATATCAAAAAAACCGAACTCCAAGGAAAATTCCAAATGGAAAGTCCCGTATCAAATGGCAAAATCAAAAGCTCAAAAACATCAACCGAATGGAAAACAACTGTCATATTCCTGACTTGCTACAAGCATTTCCTTATGTAAAAAATGGTGGATTAAACCTGATTTTATAGCTAGCTAAACCTCTCAGTTGCATGACAGTCGAATAGAATTCCATTATATTGACAACATTATTTGTCTATGGCAGAGTAATAAAGTATATACGTCCTTTTTTCTCCTAATGATTTGAAAACGATCAATTAAAAGTCGAAGGCATGTACATTACGACTCCTAAAACGTTTTGTTTCGGATCTTATTAAAACGAAACGCTCATCAGGCTTAAGATTGAATATACCCTCTGGGACATAATTTTTGAAAATTAATCATATTTATCAAAAACAAGGGTTGTCTTGAATTAAAACAAAAGTGGGATATATACTAACGAGTCGAAAAACCTTATATAATAAAGCGAAAAAAGACAGTGTTTCTGTGTAAGGTTATATGAAGTACATTTTAAAAACTACTTAAGAATCAGCCTTATTTTATATACTCATGAACACAAGCCTCTAACTTTCATTGACTTACCTCAACACCTGCAAACTTGAATCCTTTTTGACCACAAAACTGTTGGCATTTTTGAACTGTCATACCTTTGTCTTTCAGTACTTCCTTGGGTAATATTCTAGTGCTGTCATCCTGATAACAACCAATATATGCTGATTCTTTAATAAAATGAAAAAAAACCTATAGATTGAATATTTTCAAGATATTATATACTAAATGTCCTTTTTCTTTTATGTGTAATCATTTAAAGATATTAAAACAAAACCATGGTCTTTTGGTTCAACAATCGTTTATCAATTTCAAACAAGTTTCATTACCGTCCGCGTACCAATTAAAAGTTTAAAGGAGAAGGTATCATAAGGGCGATGTTTTGCCCTTTGAATTTGAAAATCAAAACGAATGAAATTATCTAATAAATAACGTTCTTCAAATATTCATAAGACATATCTTATAGACAACAGTTTTTTTTTTCTAAATCATTTCGAAGCATTTTATAGCTTACTATGCTAATGTAATACATATAACGTTTACCGGAGTTTTTGAGCATTTCTATAGTTGAAGTATATTGAGTAACAGTTAAAAGAAAAACATATAATGATTCTGATTTGTCCTGTTGTTTCTAGTCTAATATAAGCCTAGTTGCTAAAAGAACCATTTTTGCTAAACTGTGGTCTTGAATTTCACCTCATCAAAAATATGAAAAAGGTCACAATTTTGTTTTATATCGATCTTTTTCAGCAGCCTTAAGTAGAACTGGTATACACTGTAGGCTCTAAAAATACTTTGGAGATACTTTCAACACAGGTGCATTTATAGAGCATAAAAGATCTTACTCTGTCGTCTTGGTAATTGCCTTTACAGACGCATTTTCTATTTATGCATTACCCTCTTTTATAAAAATTATTCATGCACTTTGATGTCTCGCCTAATATAATATAAATTTACAAATTAAGAGGAAATGTAATTGTTGTTATTTCTAATTTGACACTGAGAATCGTTTTTGTTTTATTCTGAATATGAAGTTTAAAAATCTGCTGGGTAATGAAGTAATATATTTGTCGCTATTTCATAGTTGACAATGGTAAATATTTTATTTGACATCGAAGTTCAAAAAATCTGCATGACATCTTATTTTGCCAAAACCTTCAGTCAGCCATTAGGGATAAGAAAAACATTACCTAAATAAATATAATACAATAGTACATACCTTTGCCTTTTGTACAAGATCTAACTCCGTCGCCTTGGTATTTTGCTTTACAAACGCATTTTCCCTTTATACATCTGGCTTTCTTATGACATTTTCTCGTGCACTTGGGTGTCTTGTCTGCAAAAATTGACAATTGTTCGAATTGTAAGGTAAAATGGTTGTAATTTCATTTCTGAGCCTGATTAATATCTAAAGAAAAATTTACAATAAATATGAACGATCTGTTCGACATCGACTTTTGTCAATGAATAAGTAATTCCTTGTGGAAAAGGGAATAAAATAACTTGTTAAGTGTGAACTTGAATAATCTTAAATTGTATACCTTTGTTTTTTGTACAAGATCGTACTCCATCGCCTTGGTATTTTGCTTTACAGACACATTTTCCCTTTATACATCTGGCTTTCTTATGACATTTCATCATGCACTTGGGTGTGTTGTCTGAAAAACGGACAATGGTTCGAATCGTAAGGTATAATGGTTTTAATTTCATTTCCGAGAATGGTTAATATCTAATTTATTTTTACCATACATGTTAACTATCTGCTCGACATCTACTTTTGTCGATGACTAAGTCAGTCTTAATGGAAAAGGGAATAAAAAAAAAAACATTTTTAGTATGAACTTGAACAAAAGAAAACTACATACCTTTGTCTTTTGTACAAGATCTTACTCCATCGCCTTGGTATTTAACTTTACAGACGCATTTTCTATTTTTCAATTAGGTCTTTTGTTAGATGTATTTCTATTTGTATCCATCTGACGAATTAAGCCTTTTTCAACTGATTTTTATAGTTTGTTCTTATGTTGTATTGTTACACCACTGTCCCAGGTTAGAGGAGGGTTGGGCGCCCACTAACATGTTTAACCCCGTCACATTCTGTATGTGCCTGTCCCAAGTCAGGAGACTGTAATTCAGTGGTTGTCGTTTGTTGCTGTGTTATATATTTGATTTTTTTTCTTTATTTTGTACATAAATTATGCCGTTAGTTTTCTCGTTTGAATTGTTTTACATTTGTCATTTCGAGGCCTTTTATAGTTGACTATGCGGTATGGACTTTGCTCATTGTTAACGGCCGTACGGTGACCTATAGTTGTTAATTTCTGTGTCATTTGGTCTCTTGTGAAGAGTTGTCTAATTAGTAATCATACCACATCTTCTTTTTTTATATTAAATGAAAATTATTCATGCACTTTGATGTCATAAATTTAAATGATCTGCTCTACTTTTGTCGATGTCTTTACTCAGTCACAATGGAAAAGGGGAAAACAACATGTTAACAAAACTTGAATATTATAAAAGAACATACCTTGTGATATATTTAAGATCTGACTTCGTCGCCTTAGTATCCTGCTTCAGACCAAATTTTCTATTTATGCACCTAGTTCTTTTATGACATGTATTCATGCACTTTCATGTCTTGATACAATTTTACAAATTACAAATTACGTTCTGTAATTGTTGTAAATTACGTTGACACTAGAAAACATTTTTATGACTTTGAAATTTTGACATCGGCTCGAAAACTGATTTGCTGTTACAATTGTACCTTACATTCATAATAAATAAGTTCATAAAAACTTGTTAACAATAAAAATATATACTATAAAAGTGCATACCTTTGTTGTTCGTACAAGATCTAATTCCGTCGCCTCGGTATCCTGATTTACAGATGCATTTTCCCTTTTTACACTTGGCATATTTATGACATTTTCTCAAGCATTTGGGTGTCTTGCCTACAAAGAAGACAATTGTTTCAATTGTGAGTAAGGTACTTTAATTCATATTATTTCAACTGACATTTGTGAATATTAAGTTTTATTTGACCATGACATTACAGATCTACTTCGCATATACTTATATCGATGACTTTAATCAGTCATAATGGATAAGTGATTAAAAACATGGTAAACTTTGATGTTTGTACAAGATCTAGCTCCGTCGCCTCGGTGTCCTGCTAAACAGACGCATTCTCTACTTTTACACTCAGATCTTTTATGACTTTGATGTCTTCCCAAACATTACATAATTTTACAAATTACGAGGTACTATAATTGTTGTAATTTCTTTGTTGACACTTAGAAACGTTTTTGTTTTATTATGACACTGAAGTTTAATAATCGGCTCGATAACTGCGTATGCTGCTAATTAGTCATTAATGACGGCCAGTTTATGTTTGAGAAGGAAGCCAGATAACGCGAGAAAATCACTGCCTTCGGCAGAAAAACTCGAAATCATTTTTCAAATATGATTGGAAACCTCGACACCTTCTGGGATTTGAGCTCGAAACATGAGCGTTGAAACCTATTGTCCCTGGAGATAAACATCTAAGGCCACCAGCCGACGGAGGCCCTATGATGGTTTTGGGTAACAGTTACTGAAATCGTAATAATGATCTACTTATATAGTACAATAGTACATACCTTTGTCTTTTGTACAAGATCTAACTCCGTCGCCGTGGTATTTGGCTTTACAGACGCATTTCCGATTTATACACTTGGCTTTCTTATGACATTTTTTCATGCACTTGGGGGTCTTGACTGCAAAATGGACAATTTAACGAATTATAAGTTATAATTCTTGTAATTTCATTTCTGAGAATGATTAATATCTAATTTATTTTTACCATATATTTCAACGATCTTCTCGAATTCTAGTTTTGTTGATGACTTAGTAAGTTCTAAGGGAAAAGGGAATACAACATGGTATGCATGAACTTGAAATATATAACAAGTACATACCGTTGCCTTTTATACAAGATCTTACTTCGTCTCCTTTATAACATGCTTCACACACGCATTTTCTATTTATACACTTAGCTCTTTTATGACATTTATTTTTATGCACTTTGATGTCTTGCTTAAATTTAATATTTTTTTACAAATTACAAGGTCATATTGTTGTTGTAATTTCTTTGAAGACACTTAGAAACGGTTTTGTTTTATTATGACTCTGAAGTTTAAGAAGCGGCTAGACAACTTCTTCTTCTTGCACTAGTCAGTCATAATAATTAAGTTAATAAAAAAACATGATACACATATTAGTGTATAGTTAAAATGTGCATACCTTTGATGTTTGAACAAGATCTAATTCCATCGCCTTTGTAACCTGATTTACAGACGCATTTTCCTCTTATACACTTGGCTTTTCTATGACATCTTCTCAAGCATTTGGGTGTCTTTACTACAAACAAGACAATTGTTTTAATTATGAGGTACTGTAATTGTTATTATTTCATATCCGACATTTGTGAACATTAAGTTTTATTTGACCATAATTTTTAAAGATCTATTCGACAACTGCTTTTGCTGTTGACAATAGTCAGTCGTAATAAAAGAGTTGATAACAAGACAATAAGTATTATAATGATTTATACTATAAATGTGCATACCTTTGATGTTTGTGCAACAACTTTTCCATCGCCTTTGTATCCTGCTTCAGACCAAATTTTCTATTTATGCACCTACCTCTTATATGACATGTATTCATGCACTTTCATGTCTTGTCTTACATGATACAATTTTACAAATTACGTTCTGTAATTGTTGTAAATTATTCGTTGACACTAGAAAACATTTTTATGACTCTGAAATTTTGACATCGGCACGAAAACTGATTTTGCTGTTACAATTGTACCTTATATTTATAATAAATAAGTTCATAAAACTTGTTAACAATAAAAATATATACTATAAAAGTGCATACCTTTGTTGTTTGTACAAGATCTAATTCCATCGCCTCGGTATCCTGATTTACAGATGCATTTTCCCTTTTTACACTTGGCATATTTATGACATTTTCTCAAGCATTTGGGTTTCTTGCCTACAAAGAAGACAATTGTTTCAATTGTGAGTAAGGTACATTAGTATTTATTATTTCAACTGACAATTGTGGATATTAAGTTTTATTTGACCATGACTTTACAGATCTACTTCACATATACTTATATCGATGACTTTAATCAGTCATAATGGATAAGTGATTAAAAACATGTTAAATTTGATGTTTGTACAAGATCTAGCCCCGTCGCCTCGGTGTCCTGCTAAACAGACGCATTCTCTACTTTTACACTCAGATCTTTTATGACTCTGATGTCTTCCCAAACATTATACAATTTTACAAATTACGAGGTACTATAATTGTTGTAATTTCTTTGTTGACACTTAGAAACGTTTTTGTTTTATTATGACACTGATGTTTAATAATCGGTTCAATAACTGCGATTCTGCTGACTAGTCATTCATGACGGCCAGTTTATGTTTGAGAAGGAAGCCAGATAACGTGAGAAAATCACTGCCTTCGTCAGAGAACTCGAAATCCTTTTTCAAATATGATTGGAAACCTCTACACCTTCTGGGATTTGAGCTCGAAACATAAGAGTTGAAAACTATTGTCCCTGGAGATAAACATCTAAGGCCACCAGCCGACAGAGGCCCTATGATGGTTTTGGGTAACAGTTACTGAAATCGTAATAATGATCTACTTATATAGTACAATAGTACATACCTTTGTCTTTTGTACAAGATCTAACTCCGTCGCCGTGGTATTTGGCTTTACAGACGCATTTCCGATTTATACACTTGGCTTTCTTATGACATTTTTTCATGCACTTGGGGGTCTGGGCTGCAAAATGGACAATTTAACGAATTATAAGTTATAATTCTTGTAATTTCATTTCTGAGAATGATTAATATCTAATTTATTTTTACCATATATTTCAACGATCTTCTCGAATTCTAGTTTTGTTGATGACTAAGTAAGTTCTAAGGGAAAAGGGAATACAACATGGTATGCATGAACTTGAAATATATAACAAGTACATACCGTTGCCTTTTATACAAGATCTTACTTCGTCTCCTTTATAACATGCTTCACACACGCATTTTCTATTTATACACTTAGCTCTTTTATGACATTTATTTTTATGCACTTTGATGTCTTGCTTAAATTTAATATTTTTTACAAATTACAAGGTCATATTGTTGTTGTAATTTCTTTGAAGACACTTAGAAACGGTTTTGTTTTATTATGACTCTGAAGTTTAAGAAGCGGCTAGACAACTTCTTCTTCTTGCACTAGTCAGTCATAATAATTAAGTTAATAAATAAACATGATACACATATTAGTGTATAGTTAAAATGTGCATACCTTTGATGTTTGAACAAGATCTAATTCCATCGCCTTTGTAACCTGATTTACAGACGCATTTTCCTCTTATACACTTGGCTTTTCTATGACATCTTCTCAAGCATTTGGGTGTCTTTACTACAAACAAGACAATTGTTTCAGTTTTAAGGTACTGTAATTGTTACTATTTCATATCCGACATTTGTGAACATTAAGTTTTATTTGACCATAACTTTTAAAGATCTATTCGACAACTGCTTTTGCTGTTGACTATAGTCAGTCATAATGAAAGAGTTAATAAAAAGACAATAAGTATAATGATTTATACTATAAATGTGCATACCTTTGATGTTTGTGCAATATCTTATTCCATCGCCTTTGTATCCTGATTTACAGACGCATTTTCCTCTTATATAATTGGCTTCTCTATGACATTTTCTCAAGCATTTGGGTGTCTTAACAACAAACAAGACAATACTGTTGTCAGGTCATTAAAGATTGCATATTTTGGCTTTAATATTGATTCACTTATAGGGTCTTTGCATCGGAATTAAACACATTTATTCTAAAACCAGTTGTTGGCATGCCACGGGTTATGTTCTCCTCATATATTTTATGACGGTATAATACTAAACCCCTAATAGGAGAGATTGTGCCTGATATTCATATGATGAAGACATAATCTTTCAATCAGTTTAATTGAGGTCTGGAGCTGGCATGTCAGTAACTGCTAGTAGTATGTTGTTATTTATGTATTATTGTCATTTTGTTTATTTTCTTTTGTTTCCTATTCTGAAATCGGACTCGGACTTCTCTTATACTGAGTTTTACTGTGCATACTGTTGTGCGGTTTTTTTTTCTTCATTGGCTAGAGGTATAGGTGGAGGGTTGAGATCTCAAAAAACATGTTTAACCCCGCCGCATTTTTGCGCCTGTCCCAAGTCAGGAGCCTCTGGCCTTTGTTAGTCTTGTATCATTTTTAATTTTAGTTTCCTGTGTATAATTTGGAGTTGAGTATGACGTCCATTATAACTGAACTAGTATATATATTTGTTTAGGGGCCAGCTGAAGGACGCCTCCGGGTGCGGGAGTTTCTCGTTGCATTGAAGACCCATTGGTGGCCTTCGGCTGTTGTCTGCTCTATGGTCGGGTTGTTGTCTCTTTGACACATTCCCCATTTCCATACTCAATTTTAATTGTTTCAATTATGAGGTACAGTAATTGTTATTATTTCATTACTGACGTTTGTGTGACTAAATATTTTTTTACCATGAATTTTAAAGATCTACTCGACAACTGCTTTTGCTGTTGACTATAGTCAGTCATAATGAAAGAGTTAATAAAAAGATAATACGTATAATGATTTAATCTATAAATGTGCATACCTTTGATGTTTGTACAAGATCTAATTCCATCGCCTTTGTATCCTGATTTACAGACGCATTTTCCTCTTATACAATTGGCTTGTCTGTGACATTTTCTCATGCACTTGGGTGTCTTGTCTGCAAAACGGACAATTATTCGAATCATAAGGTATAATTGTTGTGAATTAATTTCTGACATTGATGAATATCTAATTTATTTTTACCATAAATTTTAATGATCTGCTCGACATCTACTTTTGTCGATGACTTAGTCTGTCCAAACGGAAAAGGGAATAAAAAAACATGTTAAGCAAGAACATACATTAGACTTACTTCGTCGCCTCGGTATCCTGCTTCACAGACGCATGAACATTTAATGCACTTAGCTCTTTGTGGCATTTATTCGTTACAAATTTACAAATTACGGTGTACTATACTCGTTGTAATTTCTTTCTTGACACTCGTTCTTGTTTTATTCTGACTCTGATGTTTAAAAATCGGCTCGACAACTGATTTTGACTGCTGACTTTAGTTTAGTCGTGCTGATTTAAAGAGAGACAAAAGATATCTAAGGGGTGATCAAATTCATAAGTCGAAATAAAACTGAAAAAAAAACAAAAACGACGAAAAGGCAAACAACAGTACACATACATGTAACACAACAAAGAAAACAAAAGACTGAGCAACACGAAACCTACAAAAAACGATAAATAAGTTAATAAAAAATCAAATCATAATAACATATACACTATAAATATGCATACCTTTCTTGTTTTTACAAGATCTAACTCCGTCGCCTTGGTATTTGGCTTTACAGACGCATTTTCCATTTATACACTTGGCTTTTTTATGACATTTTTTCCTGCACTTTCGTGTAGTGCCTGCAAAATGGACAAAGACTAATTGTTTTATTCCATATTCCAAAAGAGATAAAGAAGTATTTAATGACAATTATTTACCAAAAGCAAGTGTATATCAAACAGTTTACTAAAATTATACCTGTAAAAGCAAGTGACGTTAAGGGTGGAGAATAATACTTTTTTTCGAACAAAACTGACAATCAACACAGGCGCTACGTGCATGCGTGAATTATTCTGTTGTTTGTCACTCGTTGAATAATTTTCTAGATTTCATGATTTTATGATTAGTTATTCAGTAAGTTTTTATGAACATATTTTGACTGTGTTTATAGTTTCCAAACACTCTCATAGACAATTGATAGGGTGGTGGTAAATCAAAACAGTATAAGACTTTATTTTCGGTTAACAACTAGTGTTTTACATTCAGACTGAACTATTGTCCTCAGTCTTCGGTTTTTTGGCATCAATTCCGGATTGGTTCAAATAAAACATCTGATGACCGAGAATCCCGTCTATTTATAACTGTTTAGCAAACCGTCAACATCTGTTGTTTGACCTTCAGTTTGAACTGCTGCCTTAAGACTTAGGCTTTATGTATTAGTTCTGTCTTCGGGACAAGCACAACAGCTGTTGACCACAAACCCAGTCAAAAACTGTTATTAAAACTTCCAATTTCCGGGCAGACGTGGCTGCTTATTTAAACACTTCTCGGGCCAAACAGACACTATCATCAGAATAAGTTTTACTACCAGATGACAAAAGCCCAGTCATGACCATATGTCTATACTCCGGTCTAGTCATTCAGATAACTATTTTCCGTTCTGAATGTATTCGACTTACATCTAAATGCAAACAGCAATCCACTAAAATTGCTACGATTAAAAATAAGAAATCTACAGTAGACTTAAAGTTTTTTTTATCTAATTGCATACATATGTAATATCATAATTGGGTTGTAAGTGTCACCTTATATGCTTACTATTTTTATTTCATTGTTCATGAGTGATTTGTACTTTTAGTTTTGTAAAACATAGTCATGACATCAATGTGTAATCACAAACATACCTTGGCAGGAATAGGAAACAGTGACGTATTTGTATGTCCCGGGACAAGGATCACCATACAGCCCGTTATTTGCAGCAACAGCGCATGATTTTCGCCCATTACAATTCTTCCTTGTGATGCCCAGAGGTTTTTTCGTAGAACAACGAGTTGTTTTTATCTTTGGATGTTTGCATGTTCTTTTATTAGATCTACCATACGTTGCCTGCTGTATCCTGATTATTTGGTTTGGTGGACATGACAATGTAGTTTTGGAATTTTCGCAAATTACCTCTTTTTTGCTCGCTGGAAATAAAAATATACACATAGATGATGTAACTATTACAATACGTTTAACGATGCATAAGCTGACAAATGTACGCACGCCGGATTTATTCAAATCTGATAAACTATATACTAAAACGTAATGCAGAACTACAGAAGTTCCACAAAACCAATACACATATCTAGAATCTAAGAAGTATCAAACTTTCGTTATATTCCTGACAAGACGCCATCCAATAAACTATCGACACGACCAACGAAATATTTCGATGGTCATGTGACCCCGTTATCTATACTACTAAAATAAGGATGTCCAATTTGTTAGCCGGCATGACGTAAAAACGACGAATGAAAGAATTCAACTTTATATATAACTAATATAGGACAATGGTGTCGATTACAGATTACACCATTACAGGCCCTTTCGTTTTCCACATAATCAATATTACCAATAATTAACAAGTTCCGGGTCGAATCCGATACCGATACCAACAGTATATGTCACCTGTCACCTGTTACCTAATCTGTATGTTCCACCTCTGTCAGGCGCACCACCAAACGGTGTATTTGGGATTTGCTATATGCACGGGTCATAACCACACCTGAACTTCGTCATTATACAGGGATTGACACTACTAAATTCAATCATTGTCACATGTAGCTTCCAGTTGTAGTAAAAAAACCAGGACGGGTTCAAACAAAAAGATTTTGAAAGCAGAGAAAACTGTGCACCCTATAATCAGCATGACTTTATCAGATGACAATACGAATACTAACAATCCAAGCTAGAAATAAGGCGTACGCTCTTTCCAATTTGTTAACCTGGCATGACGTTAACACGACGAATCAACGAATTTAACTTTATATATAACTAGTATAGGACAATGGTGTTGATTAGAATTACACCGTTCTAGGCCCTTTTTTTCCACATAATTTATATTACCAATAGTTAACAAGGTCCGGGTCGACGGGTTCAAATAAAAAGATTTTGAAAGCAGATAAATATGTGCACCTTATAATCAGCATGACTTTATCAGAAGAATAATTAAAATCCAGGCTAAAAATAAGGCGTAGGAACTTTAATTCAGCCACGGACCCGCGATGTCGCAGGTGTGTTCTACTTATTATAAATAAAAACAGACTGGTGTATCTAAATATAACATGATAAATATTTATATAAGTTATATCCTAACGATCCTACTGCCTGTCGATACTTTAATTTTGGCATTGCACAAGTCATGTCTTCTTTGACTGTCCATAGCGTTAAAACACAAAATCCTTGGGATGTGTTTTAATTGATTTTAGTCTCTGATGCATGATTGTTTTATTGTTAATTGTTTTTGGCTTTTAACTAGCTTTCAGTAACTGCGAGTACTCTTTAATCGTACTTTCGTGTTAAGTTGACCTGTTGACACAATTTGTAATACGTTTCTGTAATTTAATGATTACTTATTTTTTGCTATATCTCGTCTCACTATTTTGTACCACCTTTGATAAGTACTTAGTATGACGATAAATTTTCACTTCCGTACTCGTACTACAAAATTATTATATTTAAATTTACCTGTGTACGTTGTTTTATTTAACGCCATTTTGTCCCAGATTAGAGTTGGCTTATTGTCACTCTTACTACATCTTTTTTTATTAATACCTGTAACGTCTATGTTATATAGTCACCTACGTTTTAATATTGTATTTATATTGTGTCATAGATCAAACTTATTCGTTCAGTGTATGTTTATTTGTTTTTGTTTTAATGTCTTTTTGATCGAATTAAGCCATTTCAATTGATATTTTATAGTGTGTCTTTTATGTTGTAATGTTACACTACTGTCTCAGGTTAGGATGAAGGTTGGCGCCTGTTAAAACGTTTAAACCCACTGATTTTTTATGCACCTGTCCTAAGTCAGGAGCCTGTTGTTCAGTGGTTGTCGTTTGTTGGTGTGGTTCATATGTGTTTCTCGTTTCTCGTTTTTTATATAGATTAGACCGTTGGTTTTCCTGTTTGAATTGTTTTACACTTGTCATTTTGGGGCCCTTTATAGCTTGCTGTTCCGTGTGAGCCAATGCTCAGTGTTGAAGGCCGTACTTTGACCTAAAATTGTTAACTTTTTATACATTGTGACTTGGATGGAGAGTTGTCTCATTGGCACTCATACCACATCTTCTTATTTATATGGTAAACATAAAGTAGAAATAGATATGGAACCACTTTTAACTGTATACGGTCTTTTTTCATTATTTTGTTTTTCATGAACAAAAACACATGAATTAAATGAAAAGTATTGTACTCTAAACTTGTATATGACTGATCTATTTGCGGATAGAATCAATCAACGAGATCGGTCTTCCTGTTTCTAGTTTTACTTTTTTTTACGTTTGGTTTAATCATGGTACATGCTCATTACACGGATAACCCATCTCCAACAAAGGTTAGATCAAAGGTCGCATGAGTACGGATTAAAATGAAGTTGAATTATTAGCTTGTAAGCCAATAATACATTAATGCTGTACTGTGGATTCATTATTATTCGTGGAATACCAATTTCCGTGGATTTCGTGGGTACTGGTAAACCACGAATTCAAATGTCCAACTATTTACAAATTTTCCATTGGTTTGTATGCAGACTTTGGCAAAACCACGAAATTAAATATCCACGAAAATGCAAGATTTCCTTAATCCACGAAAATTGATACCCACGAAAATAAATGAATCCACAGTATTTGAGTTTATTTTGCCAAAATTGAACCAAACTGACAGCTAATAATAAATGTTTAAAACAAAAACATATCAGATTACGGAGAGCACAACTGTTGATGAAATGTTTTCCATTTGTTTCCGATATTATAATGACTCTGCTTTCAAACGAGTCATCACTGAGGTTATCACCAGTTGTGAAGGTAGCACTTCTGTGCTGGTATGAAACATCATTTTTGTAAATTTGCTGTTCATACAATGTAGAAATCATACGAATTACTAAGGGTTTTTTTAACCCCTATGTACAAATTGTCTTTTGCAATATTAGCACAATTTTTTGTTTCATTAAAAAAGATTGGTCAACGTAGATACAAATAGCTTGTTTTAAGGATAGACATATCATTCTTTGTAAAATAACAACACTGAATCGATAAAAAAAATTCGATAATTTAATTATCTCGATTGGATAAATCCGATTACCCACTGATACCAATGTAAGAATCTATATTTATCTCAACGTTCTAAATATTGAATTTAATATAATAATAAATTATATAAATTTAATAATAATTATTTGTTTTTGTAGAGGTCGTACAATGTACCACAAATTAAAGAGTTGACCAGTAGGACGAGAGAAAAAAAAATGTCACCAGAATTCAAACTGTGTACATGTATCTTGAACTAGTATATTTGATGTATTTTGACTTTGTATCAAAATAAAAACAATTTTAGATTTATATATCCATCGATAATATAAGAATTTGAACTTTGAAATAACTATTGAATTGTAAATCTGAAGAGCTGTCTTAAAAATCTGCATATATATATAAATTGTTTCCGACATGAATATGTATGAAATATATTCTGTTAGACTCTATATCAATATTTTTGACTAAGAACACCAACCCCCTTTTCCAACAGAAACCACGAGAAAATAATCAAATTGAAGAATAAAGAAAATGATTATAAGAAGTCAGCATATATTTATCGATTTATGCAACAGTTCTTTACCGATGTTCAAATCTCATACCCCCTCTTTTTTATTTTAAGTAAAATGTTCCGTTTTTAATTAAATTTTAATTAAATTAAGTGTTAATGCACAAATTTTCAAAATTATTCTTTTTAAGGGGAAGTATATTTATCTTTAAAGGGAAGCAACCCTAACAAACTTTTTAAATGTCTAAAACAGAACAAAATACAGATAATTTTACGTAACACGTTAAAAAGGTCATCTTACCAACTGCCTGAAGGACTGTCACAAGCAACAAAAGGAAAACTCCTGGTCGTGCCTCCATGCCTCCGGCTGTTTGAATGTCATGTGATGAAAAGTTGCTTATGTACCCTTAATAAACCCACGTGTGGACACGTACATTGATCAGATATATTGACGAATTCGGGTACGTATCTGTTAATCTAAGTCAATATTATATTGTCCTTCCAATTTCAAAAAGGTTTTATAAGAATTTGTGAAACAGGTTGTGTTATTTACGCACTAGAGATGAAAAAAATCTGACAATAATTAGATTTAAAGATTTTGAAAATCTGAAAAATAGCTTTTATTAATATTTTTTCTAATGTGTTATACAAAATCATCAGTAAATTGAATGAAGTAACATGAGTTGGAACAGGTTACTGTGATTGTATCTTCTAGTAGGTTATAGGCTATCTATATTAAAATGCTACTATTGTCCATCCGTCAATAACAATTTAAACATACATGTCTAGTACCTTCTCATATATCTGAAATTATCATTATTTATTGTAAACCGCTATCATGCAATTGTTTCCGAATATTGCATCTCCTTGTTTTGGATACGTAACACATGTTTTAATTGTATTAGATACAATTATATTTCACCGATGTGAAAACTTACACCGACGCATGTTGAATTTGAATTTTGTATTGCTTCTTCTTTTTTTCGAAAAATACTTTTTGGAAGTTACACATGTAGAATAAGGCAAAACGAACATTTTTAATAGGTCTAAGCTTGAGAATATTGTTCGAAAATGAAAATCCAAGCAGTTTCTCAAAAATGAAGACTTTTTTTAATTAATCTTTTTAATCTGTATGAACTGTCTTATACTTAAGTGCCAGTCTTTTTAAAAATCAGGCAATTTAGAAGAATTTCAAAACATGACCGAAAAAATCAACCGACTTTACCATCAAATTTGAAGTTACGTTCATCCTGAGGTCTTTCGTTTCTGTGTGTCTTGTAATTCGAGTAATCTCTATTATATAACTTTTGGTTATGATGATTGCAAATTACGGAGTTAGCTCCCCTCAATTGGTAATTTCTAGTGCATTTCAATCAAATTATATCTTGAATTACCAGAACAGGAAAAGGAAACGAATGTTATATTTGTACACTATTATACATTTTAAACTTAAATTAATGTTAACTTGAGTGGGTTTTTATTTATTTTTTATGTTTTCACCATTGCTTGATTCTTAGTTAGATTGACACTTAAAATTCATTCATTTTGTATCTGAACAACAGACAAATGTTTCGGTATTGTTTGAATCTTTAAATGATTATAGTGAGGCAACATGATTTTGGAAGAATTGAATATAGTGCTAATTCAGACGTTTGGAGCAGGAGCATAGTTAACTCAACAAAAATCTGGGAAGTTTTATTTTAAATTTAGAAGTAATCATGTGCATTCCTGAATCAAACAGTGTTTCCCTATCAAATTGGATCAAAGCACTTTGTCTTCTTTCATGAGTGTAATGTTGTGTTTACATTATTGTTTTTCGTGTCCCGAACCTGCCTATCTAATTACATTATTAAAGAACATATTCACGACTTGTATACATTTCTTGTCGGACCTTAATAAACCAGAGATAAATCAATCTACAGATTCTTTGTTAAATATGTAGTTAAAAAACTGTGCATCCTGTTTTAATACAAGTAATAAAAGAAAATCTAGAAAACCAAAATTCAGTTGACTTTCTTGATCATTTTGAGTAATGCTACAATTTTAAATTAGTTCTTAAATGAGCGATTAAAATAACATGAACGGTAACAATTTTTCTGCACCAGATGCGTATTTCGACAATGAATGTTTCTTCAGTGATATACATAGTATGCATTTGAAAAAACGCTGTGCCTTATGCCAGGGATACGTTTTTGTTGTCTGTTTCCAAGGGGAAATTTTCACTTTTTAAAGAAGAAAAATGCAAGCTTTTTTATTGTATGTTTCTCGCAGCGATATAGACAAAGGGAAATTGAGATTCGGACAAATCATCAGATTTCTGAGAAATAATTGTATTATTATTTATTCAATGTTTATTTGTTCTCGTCTTGAATATGTATTTAAAAAAAACACTAAACGGGATTTACATTTTTGAAATAGAATACAGTATGTTTTTATGGAAATTAGAATTTTTTTGTTGTTGTTTTTTTTTATAGTTTCTCTTTTTATCATGCTTTTTACCCCAAAACACAAACATGGGTAAAAATCGTAATTCAAACTCAAGTACCTCTTTGAGAATTGTACATTATTTACTTATTTGTACATGTTGTCTTGCTAATTATTTTTTCAGTGGGTAATCTAGTGACAAAACATTACCTCCCTTGAAAACACTGAAAACAGGATCTCGTCAATGTTTAGTCATTTTTTACAAGGACGCTATGGATTACGAATTCATAAGAAATGTTCTGTTAAATAATAATAAGAAGAAGAATACAAATAGGTTGAAGTAAACACAAAATCACAATATAATGTTAACATTACCTTCATAATATACCAAACGATGGGAAAAGCAGGCTATAGAACTTTTATGTAAATTTGGTTTAAATATTGATATGCGAATAAATACCTCGCGTATCAACCTAGATTTTTTTTTACTGGCTGTAACCCTCACTGGAACATGTCAATTATCCGGTTCAGAGAAGTTTAGAAAAAAAAGCCAAAAAAATCGATTGATATGCAGCAAAGATTACCACTTTTGATATTGAGTTACTAATCAAATTCAAACGGACTTATTTCAATTCAAACATTGAATGCAAATAAATCGAGAAGACAGCAAATACACGGTAGGTATAGTTTCCGGCTGAGATCGTTTTTTTTTTCGAGTGAATCGGTCCACTTTTTCAAGTGTAGATCAGATTTTTTCGAGTGATATTACATCCTATCAGATTGATTTACTGCTATTTCGCGAGTCTTATAGTTTTATTCGTGACCGAAAATGTGAATAAAAAGAAATTCTTGGGCTTAAAAGCCTACTTATTCTAGTTTGTAACTGTAATTTTGTAAAGGACAACATTATATATCCTTAATAAGTCACAAAAACATATTACTATGTTGATCAAATTTAACTCTTTTCTATTTAACGATAACCCCCTATTCTGAAAACATTTTGCCATAACCTTCCAGTATTAAGATATATAAGTAATCACTGTGTCCTTTTTAAAACGGTCTTTAGAACCGAGTACAGGGACTCATAATATTTTCAACTTCATTTCATGCTACTTTGTCTTTACAGTCAAGAATATTTTATGAATGATATACCGGTATATTACGATGACGAAAAACATAAGAGCAAAAAAACTAAGGAAAAGCAGTAAAAAATCAGAAAAATTCAATGTAAACCCAAATATTCCACTAAAAGAGCCCCTCCCCCCCCCCCCAAAAAAAAAAATACAATAACATTTGAATTGAATAGAATATTTGATAAAAAATGAAAAAACAACACTTTATAATTTTCATGCGTTTGAAGCGCTTTTCTAGATTACCTTCATCCGTAACGATCAAAGCCAAATATTTGAAGACTTATATGACCAAAAGCGCCTACTAAATAGCCAAATCCATCTAAGTTCAACTTTGCCTGATGGAGTTGAAACCTTAGGTTCTTTATAATTTTTAAATTTGTAAACGGACAATGTTGAATGATTGATTGCTGGTTGCTTAACGTCCAATGACAAATATTTCATGCATGTTCAGGACGAGAACAAATTAACAATTAATCCAATAGTTAGGTCTTGTAACAGAGAACGTTCGGGATGAAGGTCGGGAAATTTAGAGTGCCACTGAAAACGAGGGTATATTGCATATGGACAGAAATGTTGCCTTGCAACAGGCCCCGTACGTAACCCTCAAAGTACTGTTGCAAGGGTTCTTAACGTGCAGTGAGCGTGGCACTCTCTCTTCATACCCCATTCTGATAGGACGTGGCTGCGTACTTGAACATCCCGAATAGCCATTCAGACGCCCCACTTTGGCAAGAGTTTTACTGCCGGTCCGAAGAGGACCTAAGTGACCATATTTTTATTCCCCAGTCCCCCTTGGAGGTAAACAGTTTAAGAAAGGTTTGTTATAAATCATGCCACTACCGAATTACTGACTACTAAGCTGATGATAAACTCTGAGACTTATCCAATGTATTTAGTAAACAACGAATTAAACAATCTGTAAGCTTTAATACGATCCTTTAGAAATGAAAAAAAAACGAAATGTGTATATAATATGAGTACACCTCATAAAAATGCCACATCTTCTATTTTATATTGTAAATTTTTATTCTTTGTATTTCTAATGGAAATGAAGCTATGATGGTGCTTTATTTCTGTGTGACCTCTTCACAGTAGGATCACTTGAATATTATTCTAGATTTCCATTTCTAGAACGATAAAACATATTACCATCAAGATAAATAGTAAATTAAACACTTAAGGTGTATTTTCTATTAGAAAAACACACATTTACCCGCTTTACACACTATGTGTACGTACGTCTCAATCCAACATGTCTGAACTCACATAAAGATTGTTTATATTACTAAATATTTATTGTATGAAATCCATATCTGTACACTAACATGAAGATTTATAAAAATACAAATGAACGATGCTTTTTAAAGAAATGTACGTGTTAATACAGCATTATCAAACTGGTTTAATGCATTGTTTCGTGCTTTGTAAAGCACTATATTTGAACCTTTTCATTGTTTTTTAAACGTAAATGCACTGACATATTCCAGTTTAAGCCATAGGATTTTTTTTTCACTCGATAAAACACGGACGCACTCGAAAAAACACGGACTGCTTTCGAAAAAACACGGATATATAAAAATGAATTTACTCTCCAAAATGTATTTTTCTATGAAAAAAAACAAGATTTTTTGTAAAGTGTCTGTAATCTATAAGTATATAAAGACTCAATGTACGCATTTCCGTTGACATTTGCATTGGTATGTGAGTAAAAATGGCTTTAATCTATATTTTGGAATAAAGCATTGTAAGGCTGAGTTTAACGTTTTCAAAACAAAATAATGGAGGGTTGATAATATCTTTTTA